CCCCCCCAGTCACCGCATGTAGTTTGGTCGCATCTCCTCTGACGGGCTGCAGCTCTCCTGGGGTCTTGGGCTCCGAGGGGTCCTCCTCCGCCTCTTCTCCCTCAGGTCCTTCAGTGGGAGATGCTGTCAGGGCTTGAACCCGGGACCTGCTGCGTGCAACATACACATTTTGCTACTGAACTGTGCTCCCTTGCATAAAGCCGAGACCCCTGAAACCACCGTCTGGTGCTTATCCGGGGGGGGGGGTGCCTCTCCCTGGCGGGGCGTTGCAAACAGCCGTTTCTGCTGACCTGCCTGCGAAGAGAGGTGGAGCTCCTGGGCCTGCCCCTCATCACCCCCCTCCTTCCCCCCCCCCACCGGCGTCTGCCTACAGGTGTTTCCAGCCCGTGCTGACCCACGTGCAGATGCTGTGGGAGCTGATGCTGCTGGCGGAGCCGCTGGTGGTCCTGGCCCCGTCCCCGGCCGTCTCTTCCGAAACGGTTCTGGCCCTGACCAGGCAAGTGGCTGGAAGCCAGGCCCAGCTCCTCCCTCCACCGTCCTCCAGAGCACCTCTGTCGGCCTCCTTCCCGTGAGCAGGCGGAGTTCAGCCGGCCCCTCAGGCCCGGGAGGGAGGGGGATTTCTTTGCCTGTCGCGCCCATGAGGGGTGTGCACTAGAGCCGGTGTCCCTTGGGAGCCCCCCTGCCCCCCCTCCTCCTAATGGGCGGCCTTCCTCCTCCAGCTGCCTGGCTCCCCTGAAGTACTGCTGCGACTACCGTCCCTATTTCACCATCCACGACAGCGAGTTCAAGGAGTACACCACCCGGACGCAAGCCCCGTAGGTGCTCCGTAGCTGGGCCTGGACCGTGGGCGGGGAGGGGAGGGGCAAGTGAGACTTTCAGATTGGTGTTAAGTGGTTAAGTGAGCGGACTCTGATCTGGGAGAGCCGGGTTCGATTCCTCCTCCACTTGCACCTGCTGATGTGATCTTGGGCAAGCCATAGTTCTGTCAGAGCTGTCCTTGAGAAAGAGCCGTTTCTGTCAGAGCTCTCTCAGCCCCACCGACCTCCCAGGGGAAGGGAAAGGAGTTTGTAAGCCGCTCTGAGACGCCTTCAGGTAGTGAAGGGCCAGGGGTATAGATCCAATCTCTTCTCTTCTTCTCTCTCTCCCCCCCTCCCCCCTCTCTCTGTGGCCTCTCCCTCCTCCTCCTCCTCCTCCTTCTCAGGCCCAGTGTCCTGCTGGGAGTCACCAATCCCTTCTTTATCAAGACGCTGCAGCACTGGCCCCACATCCTCCGGCTTGGGGAGCTCAAGATGGCTGGTAACGGGATGTGGTTGGGAGGGGGGAGAGTCCTGTGCAAAGGGGCGGGGGGGGGATGCAGGCAGCCGAGCGGAGGAGAGAGAGAGAAGGCTCCCCTGAGAAGGGCGAGTGGGGAGCTGCAGGGGGCAGGCCCTCCCCATCACCAGGGAAGACCCCTGTCCTGCTTGTAACCTGGGACGGCCTGGGCTGTCTCTTTCCCCGCAGGAGACCTGCCCAAGCAGGTGAAGGTGAAGAAACTTGCCAAGCTGAAGATCCTGGATGCCAAGCCAGGTGGGGGGGCCCGGGGGGGGGGGGGGCTTAGGCTCGAACAGCCCTCCTTCCCTTGGGGGGGGGTTGTCCCGTGGGAGCCTTCTGGCCCATCCCGGCCCAGGGGACACGCTTTCTTCCTGCCTTCACCCTGCAACAGGGGCAGGAGCTGTTGTAGGGGTATTTTTTTAAAAAAGATTAATTTAAGAACATTTCTATCCTGCTTTTCTGCCCAGTTGGAGCCTTCTCAGTGGGAAATGGTTAAGACACTAAAAGTCAGCTTTGAAGACCATGCACATTTGTAAAACAGAAAATTAAAATGAACGGGAAGGGGAGGGGTCAATAAGGGAACGCCAGACCAGAGAAAAAGGCCCTTCACCCTCTGCACGACCACAACAGGAGGAGATAGGCTAGTCCCCCTGGGGAAGGGGGGGGGCACAGTCTTGGTGCCACAACCCGGAAGGCCTTTCCATGGGCCGCCCCCCCCCCTCTAGCCTCAGATGGCAGAGCAGTCTGGAGCGGGACCCCCACAGACGACCGTCATGGTTGGATAGGCAGTCCTTAAGGCGTGCTGGTTGCATCAGAGGCTTTCGGCAGGCGAGCCCTGGGCTCCGGGGGCTCTCCAGGCCTGGCACCAGGGTGGCGCGGGTGAAGGGGGCCCCACCTTTCGTGGGACTTGCAGTCTCCCTTTCGGTGGCCTTGGCGTGGCTCTTTCTCCAGCCTCGGCGGTAACCAGTGCTCCCTCTAAGCTGAGTTAGTGTGAGCTAGCTCATAGTTTCTTAGCCTCTGGCTCACACATTTTTGTCTGAGCTCAGGAAGGAGGGCTCCAGAGCAGACTAGTTTATGCAGCAGCCAAATCGCTCGCTCGCTTTCATGCCCGTAGCTCACAAAGGAGAATTTTTGCTCACAGGATTCCATAGCTTAGAGGGAGCATTGGCGGTAACGGCTTTTTTCTTTTGTCTCCTGCTCCTCGTCTGCCTCCAGGACTTTATTCGTCCTATAAGCCATTCTTGCACAAGGACAAAGGCCTCATCAAGAGACTCCTAAAGGTGAGCCAAAGCCAGGGAGAGCTCTTGGCGTAGTCGAGGGGGGTGGCTGTTTTAGTGCCTGTTTCCCGTAGCCGTGCAGGAGGCTGAGCGCTTGCCGTGCGTGTCCAGCCACTGGTCTTGTTGGGGAGGCAGGATTGCTTAGCAGGACGGCATTTGGCGCAGCCGCCCAGCCCAGCCCCTCCCGTGTTGCGGCAGCTGGGATCTTGCCGGAGGAGGACTCAGGACCAGGCAGGCTTCTGCAGCTGGGGACACACATACACCCCCGCGCGCCCCGCCTTCACAAGGAGAAGGGCCTCCCTCTGCAGACATGCGGCGTGAAGCCCGGGCCGCCTCAGGGCACTCTCTGTGCCGCTGCTGGCCTTCAGCATTCCCGCGCGGTGCTCAGAGCAGGATCTTGGACGTGCCCAGATGTCTGGCATCTCCGGGCCAGGCGTGGGCAGCTTCTTTGGCCTGGGGGCTGGATTCACGTTCTTCCGGTGCAGTCCGGCAACTTCCCATGGAGAGCGCCTGCTGGGATCCCCACCTGCGTGGAGAGGCCCTGCCTTGATGCCAGACAGGGAGGACTTCATCATCCGCAGCCTCGGTCTCATCCCAGAAGCTCCGAGGATCCCATCCCAATAGTGGGGGGGGGGGCGGTGTAGGACCAGAGAGGTCTCCTAGATGCTTCCTGAAGCCGGAAGCGGCCGAGGCAGAGGAGGTGTGTGTGTCCCGCCCTCTCGCTTCAGCGCCAGGTGGGGAGGGCGGAAGCGCCTCCCCCACTCCCACTCCCACTGGCTGAAGTGGTGCTGGTGTGCCTGAGCCAGCCACGGGGTGCAGCCACCGCCCCTTGGTGGGCAGGTGCCGGCAGAGGGGTGTCTTTTCCGGCTAGCTGGTCACACCCACCCCGTGCCAGGCAGTGCCGCGCAAAGCCTTGCCAGAGAGATCCGCAGGGGGCCAGGCTCCGGGCCTGAGACGACCTCCTTGCCGTCGCTGCCTCCCACAGGGCATCCATAAGAAGCGTTCCTCCGAAGCCCAGAGCGCCCTGCTGAGGCGGCACCTCCTGGAACTCACGCAGAGCTTCCTCATCCCCTTGGTGAGTGGCTGGGCCCCTCCCTGGGCGGGCAGGCGGGCGGGCCCCTCCCTGGGCAAATAGCCCTGCCCAAAGCCACTTGGGGTGCCTGGGGAGGACCGCCCTGCTGCTGGTGCCGCCGCCACAGAGGCTACCCGCTGTGGACTCTTTCAGTGGCACCCAGCCACGTTACATCTCTCTCTCCTCCCCCCCCCCCCCAAAAAAAATCCGCAGCGGGCATTGCTGTTGTGCTATGGGGAGCTTGTCTGGCCTGTGACTTCTTTGCCGGGGCCCTTTTGGGGTGTGGGCGCCTGCCCCCGTACGTGGCCAGGGGGAGGGGGGGCCCCGTGGCAGAAGCGGAGGGGCTTCCCTGCCTTCTGGGAGGAGGGTGCCCTGGGGGGGTGGCCCTGACCTTCCTCTCCTCCCCTCCCCCAGGAGCACTACATGGCCAGTCTCATGCCGCTGCAGAGAGCCGTCACCCCTTGGAAGGTATGGTGTGCGTGTGTGTGTGTGGCTCCCACGCCTCTTCCGGGCTGCCGTGGGGCCTCGGAGGCATCCCTTTAGCTCCCCCCTGCTTCCCGGCTGAGACGGGCTTACCCCGCCCCGGCCCTTCAGCCCAGGAAGCTATGCTGCTGCGTGTGGAGGCTGGCTGGGGGCGGGCTGACAAATTAGCAGCAGCAGCAGCGGAAGCTCCCCGGTTGGGTTTTCTCGCTTCTCGCATGGACAGGCCGATGCCCGTGGACAGTCCAGCCCTCCCTCCCTCCGGCCCCCGAGGCCCCTTTGGGTTACTCTGCTGTGTGTGGAGTAGGCTGCCGAGAGGGGCCCGCTTGACTCTTGCTCATGGGCCATCCCAGCAGGCTCAGCGCATGGCAAGAGTTGTTCTCACGCGTCCCGTCTCTCCCTCACACAGAATCCCCCTCCGATCCGCCCGTTCCAGCAGGAGGAGTTCCTGAAAACCCTCGAACAGGCCGGGCCTCAGCTCACTTGCATGATCAAGGGGGACTGGATGGGCCTGTACAGGTAGGCTCAGAGCCGGCAGGTCGTGCGGTCCCCCTTCAGGGGGCAGACAGCGAGGTCCCCGGGTGGCAGAAAGGACTGGGAGTGGGAGCCCGTCCAGGGGCGCAGTGGCCCCGGGCTTGGCTCTCGGCAGGGCTTGAGGCCTGGTGCAAGGTGTGGGTGTCGCTCTCCCTGTCGGGAGCGAAGCATTCGTGTCAGGGGAAAGTGGCTCCCGGATCCCAGGAGTATTCCGTGAAGGAATGGTCTCTCCGGACCCATGCATTTGGGTGCCCTGGAGACTGGGAAAGCCCACGGGAAGCATCTGAGGGTTGCAGTGGATTTGTTTTTTTTAAGTGAAAATGTCCACTCCGGGGGTGGCAGCAGCGAAAAAGGCAAACGCCATGTTGGGGGTTATGAAGAAAGGGGTTGGGAGCAAAATGGCCAAATACGGTCAGGCCCCCGTGTAGATCCTCATTTGGAACACTGTGTGCCGTTCTGGTCGCTGTATCTTGGAGAGGAGACTGCAGAGCTGGAGGAGGCACGGAGGAGGAGGAGGGGACCCCTGGATGGTTCAGGGGAAGGAGCATCTCTCCCGTGAGGGAAGAAGGGCGTGAAGAGACACGGGGGACCCTATAAAATTACGCACGGGGTGGATAGAGGGAACGTTTTCTCTCTCTCCTGTAATACTAGGGCTTGGGGGGGCACCCAATGCAGTTAATGGGCCGTAGGACTAACAGAACGGACTAAAATAAATACTTCTTGACTGAGAGACAGGAGTTGTGGGATTTTCAGGGGAGGCAGCGATGGCCACAAGGATGGACAGACTTGCGTGGAGGTTTTGTCCATCAGTGGTACAAACGAAAGGAGCCTCCCCATTTAGAGGCAGTAAACTCTTGTCTCCCTTTGCTTGGGGGCAGCATCCGGGGAAGGCCTCGGCCTCCATGCCCTCTTGCTGGCCCTCCAGGACCGCTGGCTGGCGACTGGTCTGATCCAGCAGGGCCCTGCTTACGTTGGAGACCGCGTGCAAACAGCCAGCCCCGTGGGAGATGCCCTGTCCCCTTCCTGCTTCCCAGGGGGGCTCATGCTGGCAGCTGTAGTTCCAGCCCTTTTTGTAACAATCGTCCATCCTGCTGGTGCCCACTGAACTGGTCACTGAAGTTTCATCAGAACTCCAGACAAGCTCTGCAGGCAAGACCCGTCCTGCTGCAGGGGGTGGCCGTCCAGTGGCAGAGAGTGCAGAGGCCAAGGCCACCTCCCAGCCAAGGCTCCCTCTAAGCTGTGGAGAGTCCTGCGAGCAAAAATCCCTACTTTGTGAGCCGCTGGGGCATGAAAGCTGTGAGCTAGCTCACACGGACTCAGAGGGAACACTGCTCCCAGCCGTGGGTATCGGCGGGGCTCTTTTTGTAGAAAAAGCCCAGCAGGAACTCATTAGCATAATAGGCCACACCCAACAGCAGAAACTCATTAGCATATTAGGCCACACCCCTGACAGCACAGCTCATTAGCACATTAGGCCACACCCCCATGTTACCAGAAGTGTGGTTATCCAGCCACACCCACCTTTTGCTTCTTATTCTGTTTACCCAGGGCTTTTTTGTAGCAGGAACTCCTTTGCATGTTAGGCCACACACCCCTAATGTAGCCAATCCTAATGAGTTTCTGCTGTTGGGGGTGGCCTGTTATGCTAATGCGGTTCCTGCTGGGCGTGGCCAACTTGTGAGCCAGCCGGAACTCCGTCCCTATGCGTTCCTGCCCCAAAATAGCCCTGGGTATCGGGACGTTCCATTTGACCAGCACGCCTCATAGCCAGTGACAGATTTGTTCTCCGTGAATTTGTCAGCTCCCTTTTTAAAGCCCCACCTGAGCTGGTGGGCCACCCCGGCATTCTGGGGGGGGGGACAGATTCCACAAGTTGCCACGTGAAGAACTTCCTTCTCTCGGTCTTGAACCGGATGCTTCGCCTCCCTTTCCACTTGTCGTCCGGTGGCACATGCAGGAAGAGTTCCTCATACCGGCGGCCACCCGTGGAGTTTCCTCTCTTTCTCTCCCCCCCTGGTCGTCTTCTCTCAGCGGAAAGGGCCTGGGGGGCCTCCTTCCTGAGAAGAGGCGCCCTCCTCCGGAGCGTGCGCGTGCTGTTCCAAAGGCAGCCGTCCCACGGAGGGAGGCAGAAAGGGCAGGGCAGTAGGAGCTGCTCTGTCTCCCGTCCCTTCGTCACAGGGGACTGCCGGGCTGCCGGCTCCACAGCTCTAGGGCATAGCAGTTGGCTGTCAGGGTTGAATTAAGCCTCCCTGTTCAGGGACAGCGTACTGGCAGTTTGCCAGAGGCTGGGGACAGCCCTCGCCTTCTGCTCCGGCTGACGCGTTCTCCTGGGGCTTCCAGCTGGTCACTGAGCGGGACAAGAGGGTGGGACTGAGGCAGTTCTGGCCCTGCGTGGAGGCTGCCGGTGGGAGAGGCCCCCTCTCTGCTGCCCGGCCTCTTCCATGTGACGCCTCTCTCCCACCCCCAACCCCGGACAGGCGGTTCTTCAGGTCCCCCAACTTTGATGGATGGTACCGCCAGCGGCACAGGGAGATGATGCACAAGCTGGAGGCGCTGCACTTGGAGGCCATCTCGGAGGCGGTAGGCGGGGAAGGGGCAGGAAGCGGCAGAGCCTGCAACGGGGCGAGGGGGGGCGTGGCGGGGGCAGGAAGGGTGGCATCCCACCTGCTGAGCAGCAGTGCCTGTGCAAGGGTGCGTGGCCTTGCAGCCACTTTATCCCGTGGGGGCCTTTTGCTTGCCCGTCCCCAGCTGGAAGGGAGGGGGGCAAGCTAACAACCCTGTGGCTGCTCTGACCCCCTCCTTCCTTCCTTCCTTCCTTCCTTCCTTCCTTCCTTCCT